ATATATTACGTGCTAGAATTTGATTGGGGCATTATTAATACTGTTTAACTAGTCTAGTCTAAAATATGAAGTATTTATTATTATTATTATCATTATTATTAATATTAATTATCATTAATTGTTGTTATTGTTATTATACTATTATTATTATCAATATTAATATTTATTTGTTATTATTTATTTTTTGTATCTATTGGGGGAGAGAGTCAAAAAACAAATCAGTGTATGGTGTGACCACCACTAGCCTCACTCAGTACAACACATCTCCTTCACACAGAGTTGATCAGGTTGTTGATGGTTGCCTGTGGATTGTTGGTCTGGCTGTGTGAAGTTGCTGGATGTGGTCAGGAACACGAACACGCTGTCGTGTACGCTGATCCAGAGCATCCCAAACATGATCAATGGGCAACATGTCCAGTGAGCATGCTGGCCACGCAAGAACTGGGATGTTTTCAGCTTCCAGGAATTGTGTACAAATCCTTGCAACACGGGGCCGTGCATTATCATGCTGCAACATGAGGTGATGGTCGTGGATGAATGACACAAGAATGGGTCTCAGAATCTCTTCACAGTATTTCTGTGCAATAAAATGTCATCAGTTAAAGGCACCTGTGGTCATTATCCTGCCTGCCCGTACCAGAACCACACTGCCACTGTGGGTCACTCAGTTCACAACGCTGACATCAGCAAACCGCTTACCCACACAGTGCCATACATGCAGTCTGCATCTGTACAGTGAAAACCAGAATTCATCTGTGAAGAGAGCACCTCTCTAATGTGCCATATGTGAAATTTGTCTAGTAAAGTTGGTTACGATGAGAAACTGCAGTCAGGTGCAGACCTCGATGAGGATGATGAGCATGCAGTTGAGCTTCCCTGAGATGGTTTCAGACAGTTTGTGCAGAAATTCATTGGTTATGCAAACTGATTGCTGCAGCAGCTGTCCAGGTGGCTGGTCTCAGACAATCTTGAAGGTGAAGATGCTGGATGTAGAGGTCATGGGCTGGTGAGGTTACATGTGCTCTGCAGTTGTGAGGCCCGTTTGATGTACTGCTAAATTCTCTGAAACGCCTTTTGAGATGGCGTATGGTAGAGAAAAGAACATTCACTTCACAAGCAACAGTTCTGGGGGACATTCCTGCAGTCAGCATGATTATTGCATGCTCTTTCAAAACTTGCGACATCAGTGTCATTGTGCTGCACATTTTAGAGTGGCCTTTTATTGTGGTCATCCTAAGGCTCACCTGTGCAATAATCATGCTGTCTAACCAGCATCTTGATCTGCAACACCTGTGAGGTGGATGGATTATCTCAGCAAAGTGCTCACTAAATAACTAAAGTATTGCATTGATAGTTTTTGTTCAGTATAGTTACACACTCCAATCTAATCTTCCAAACCCTTCACTTTCTTTTTAAAAGCACTGACTGGGATCAACCCTTGAAGCTTTAATAGCATCAAGGGTTGATCCTACAACTACTGTTTTTTAGGAGGATTGTAGACAATGAATTCATGTGATTGACGTTTGAGAGCTTAGTGTTAGTTTTCGCCCTCAAAATATGTCCACAACTGTATATTACTAGTTATGAACGCTGTTTCTTAAAGGGAGATCCATCCACCATGCCTCTGACCCCCCACGGTTCTAGATGATACACTTAAATGACATATCTTAGTTTGAAATTGGCAAATTTTGCCGAAAAGTGATTGATTTGAAGGTAAATGGTAAATGGACTGTACTTTTATTGTGCCTTTCTATCTTAGTGAGATACTCAAAGCTCTTTACAAGCAATCTGTGAAATATCCTGATGCATGCTCAATAATCCAGGCAGAAAAATCTAAAAAAGTTCAATCTGATCCTCTGGACATTCAAAAAAACAAATCAAAGCAAAACAACAAAAAAATGTAGAAACGTTTCGTCTCTCATCCAAGAGACTTCCTCAGTCTGAGGTGCTGTATTCAGCTCAGTCTCTTAAATAGCACCTTCTCAGAGTGGATCAACCAGTTTGCTGCTGACAACCAGAACCAGCTGATCACATG